AAGAACCTGCCCCAAACCAACCTGACCAAATCAATGAATAAGTATATAAAGGTGACAAATCCCTGGAGTTACTATCTCTATTAGCAAGTGATTTACTTTTCCCTTAAGTTTCAGTCTTTCCTATCTTTGCATATGCTGTTCCTTCTTTCCAGAAAGCCTTTCCACCCAGTTACTTGTCTGACAGGCAAACTCCAATTTATCCTCCACAATCTAATTCAAACCTGACTTCTTTCACTGTACCTTGGACATTTCTGTTACAGGATCTATCACGTGATAACACAATTATTTTTGAATGTCAATCTTTTCTATTAAACTGAGCTTTTTGAGGGGAAGGCCTACCTCTTAATTGCCTTTGTTTTTCTGGAACCTAACAAAATGTCTACAGAGCAGGCCCTCAAATGTCTACCAAATCAACAGCAAACGTTGATGACAAGCTAATGACATAATGGGATCAGGGAGCTCAAATCTGGTTCCCATTTATTGCACCACAAATCTGGGGCCATTTAAGTGATGGTCATCACTTTGGGGCAGTCTGCTGGGTCCTCTTATCTCTTGTCCAGATCCTATAACCTTATTGGTATCCTTAACTTCCAGTCTCTTCCCACTTTAATCCATCCTGGATACCACTTTAGACTAATTTTCATAAAACATCACCTTCATCTTTTCATTCTGTTGGGCAAAATGCATTATGATTCCCTAATGTCTTTCAAATCAAATCCAAATCTCTAATCTTCACACAAGGCCTCCAACTGTCCTTTCTGGCTTTAGTATTCCAAACATATCTCTCAGTCATTTTATAATGTGAACTATACTAGGGCTAGAATCTTTATCTATGTGGCCTCTGTTAAAGCACAAAATTCATCCAAGTAAATTTGAAGATCTAATTGGCTTTATTAGGCAACTCATGAATCAAGCAACATCTCCTCAGCAAGTAGAGAGATGCTCTGAGGAACTGTGCAAAATGGAAGGTTTTTAACCATAGGCAAGGGCAGGGGAAATTATTAGCGAAAAATAAAAAAGAAGGGACTGTTTCAGGCAAGGTCACTTTCTCTTAGGGGAAAGACCAGGGGAATCTATAATGCTGACTTAGGGTGGGTGGAGAAGGCTCATGTGATCTTATCAATGATGCTGCCCAGAAAATTCCTGAGACTACATTTATGGGAGGTTGAAACTGTAATTAGACTTAGGTATTAAGTCCCAGTTTAGTGATTTGGCCTAGCAGAAGTGACACAAAGGTGGGCCTGTTTTTTTTTTCTTAACACCTGTTATGTATTCCAAGCAACAGGAACAATGCCTGGCCTGGGTGAGATGCTCAGTAATTGTGGAATTAATGAATAAATGAACTATTCCTAACATATAACTATTTGTTTCAGCCAAGTTAGCTTTCTTCTTGTTCTCTATATGCACCAGTCTTATCAGTCCATCTTTGTGCCCATTAACTCCTAACAAACAATACTATTAGTATTGCAGATTTTAATGTATGTGCCCAAGTATAAGGCAATGCCTTATTTTCCCAAAGAGAAGAACTAAAAAAAAAAAATAGTTTTTGGGCAACCTAATATATATGAAATACTCAAATGTCTACTTTAAGTACTAATTTAATGAAAACTTAGTATTATTTATGTAACATTTTAAATCACATGTGAATAGAGATAATGCTTTTTCAAATTTTATAACACAATTTCAAACTATCAATGCCTTTATCATTTAAGCCCAATTTGCAATATCATGTCCTCCTCATATATAGTTAAATTGAGGAAAGTTGTTTTTCTTTTTAATTCATGTTATGCTTGTATATTCCTGACATTCACTATATAACCTCTTCCTGTTGCTTTATATTTTTTTATTTTGATATCATTAATGTACAATTACTTGAACATTATGGTTACTAGACTCCCCCTATTATCAAGTCCCCCCCACATACCCCATTACAGTCACTGTCCGTCAGTGTAGTAAGATGCTATAGAATCATTACTTGTCTTCTCTGTATATAGTGCCTTTCCGTGTCCCCGCCTCCCCCACCCCCCTAATTCCCCAGCTACTTTATGTGTGCTAATCGTAATGCCCCTTTTTCCCCTTATCCCTCCCTTCCCACCCATCCTCCCCAGTCCCTTTTTCCCTTTGGTAACTGTTAGTCCATTCTTGGGTTTTGTGAGTCTGCTGCTGTTTTGTTCCTTCAGTTTTTTCTTTGTTCTTATACTCCACAGATGAGTTTCCTGTTGCTTTTTAAAAGGCTTATTAGCAACATCAACACTTGAAACTGTGAGGTCCTAACCCCATAATAATTCACTAAATCTGTGTTAAATTTTTTTGCCGATGTAAATCTGGGGAAAGGAAATCCCGGGGCAAAATATCTCTAAAACCGAAATCAGTCAAAGGGAGAAATAAAGTTTAGAACCCATTTATTGCTTACAAATTGCAGTCAAGCTGTTTCTCTCCCCTACTCCAGCAAAAGCCAACCAGCCCTCCCCTTAACCTCTCAGGTTCAGATAAGCCCTCTGTTGCCCAGGTAATTACCCACTGATTTGGAGATGAACTTCTCTCCACCCCTGAGTCACGCTTATTGATATGTAGATGTACTAAAGCCATACTTCTCTCCAACCCTGAGGGTGCACTAGAGCCAGACGAGATATTCTGGAAATACTACAATTTTACCCACAAACTCCTATTTTTTTTTAAAGTTATTCCGAGTGACCTCTATAAGCTTGCAGAAGTAATATCAATTGACGTTTTTTTTTTTGTTCAGGCTGCATCTTCCCCAAACAGTACTTTGATTCAAAACAAAATATAATATTAGAAAACTCAGACATTGTGGACTATAAAAACAGATGTTGTAAAAACACAGACTATAAGGCAACTTCCATTTTGAGGAATTATTTTGAGAGGAAAAATATTACTTTATATTTGGGTATGTAAGATTAATTCATTTAATAAATATTTAATGAGTACCTCTTGTGTGACAACCACTGTGCTAAGGATTAGAAACACAGTGACCTTAGAATCCCATGGAGAAGACAGACATTAAATGTATAGTGACACAGCTAATTCATTCTGATCATTTTAAGTATTATAAAGGATATGTATAGCTGAGTACAAGATGAGTAACAGGGGAACCTAAGGCTGTACGATTAAGAAAGTTTCTTATAACAGTTTATACACAGTGCAGCAGTTAATTTATATGCCTAGTCCCTCTGTGTAGCTTACTTCACTTTACTCATTTATAAAGTGGAGCAAACAACAGTATCTACCTTATTAAGTTATAATGAGGATTAAATGACAATACACATAAAGCATTAAGAAACAATGATGGCACATAGTGCCTGCTCAAAAATGTTAGCTATTATTTCAGCTGGAACCTGAAAGACAAGCTAGGCAGAAAGGAAGCGGAAAGAAACTCCCAGGAAAGAGCAACATGTCAAAAACTCAGAGGGGTAAAGTTGCTTGGCCTATTGTAGGACTCAAAGGCCAATGTTTCTTAGCTATACAGAAAGCTAAGGGAAAAGAGATACCATGAGATATGAGATGAGGCTGGGAAGGTAGGCTAGGTTAAGGAGTCTGAACTTTATCCTAGGAGTCAGAGGAAACTTGAAAGCTTTTATGAAGGGGAGTGACAAGCTTAGGCTTGCAATTTTAGCATTTTCTCTGCCTCTGGCATGGAGAAATAGCTGGGTGGGGGGACCAAAACAGATGACAGGGAAACCAGTAATGAAGCTCCTTGACCAGTCTAGACCAGAGGGTTGTAGCTTAGACTAGGGGAGTGGAGCAGAAGAGAAGGAAACTGATTTTAGGAATAAAAGGCAGAACCAACAAGACTTCGTGTGTGGTGGGGTGAGGGGACAGGGAGGGAGAGGAAGAAACAGTCAACAACTCTTTCAAGAAGGAAGGAAGGCATTCCCGTGTTCTTGTCATATTGTTTTAAAGTGCCTTCCCTCTACTGTATCTTTCCAGGCACAATTCCTTCCCATTTCCTCCACAAAACTGTCTCTCATTGATCTTGTCCCCTTCTTTCTGGGGGTGTTCTAGAACTTTAGAGTTGAACATTTTTGAGATACATAGTAGTTGAGAGGACTTAGAAACTGCCTGAAGGCAGAGATTAAGTTTTAGTCAACTTTCTATCCTCTCCCATCTACCCTTCTAGATGTCCTTACTTACAGAATATTCTGTACACTAACTACGAATATACAATCATAAACAGCCTATGCTAACATAAAGCTCTGTGACCCTTAAAGCATTATACAGATGTAGGAGCTTTTACACTATTTTTCTTACTGGATCTTCACAGAACTTGTATAAAACGTGTGCTATTATATAAGAAACAAACGGAGCTAAAATGGTGTGTTCAAGGTCATACACACTAACGGAAATGGCAGTGCTAACATTTGAACCTAGGTCCCCTAGTTTCAGTGGGATGCTCTTTCTACTCCTCTCCTCGCAGGGTAAATACGCGTATGTACTCAAGAGGGCTGTTAACTCTTGGGAGGCAACTGAATGCCACTTCTGGGAATTTCTTCCAGTTTTAGTTATTGATTTATTCACAAACGTTTATTGAGCACCTACTACGCAGGTAGGTTTGGGGGTAGGATACAGCAGTAAACAAGACAAGAAGCACTTGCCCTCAGTCTAGTTCTGGAACCGGTCAAACAAGGAAACAAGTGTATAAATGACGTGAGTTGGCAAGTGCCATAAATAGAGGGTGACGGGAGAAAACGTACTTTCTGTGGGCGTTACTTTAGATAGGGTGGTCAGAGAAAACCTTTCAGAAAAGTGACATATGAGAACAGAGTTTGGTATTCAGCAGACACTGAACAAGGCATTTTCCCACAAACCTAGTTTTCGGAATCCGCGACAAAAGGAAAAAGCGCTCACTTGGCCTCCAGGCTTTGCCCCGAGGTCTGGCTAAGGACAGTTCAGGCCTAGGCAGGCCACTAGAGGGCGCCCAGGGTCCGGGCGCTGTCACATCGCCGTCTGTCACCTACGAGTCAGGCCGGAAGCCCGGGATACGCTCCGAGAGCAAGTGAGGCGCTAGGCAGCCCTGAGGCCTTGAGGAATCGCGAGAGGTCACTGGGCCCTCAAAGCCAGGACGTCCTACAAACCACAAGCCCCAGCACTGGCAGAAGTCCTCGCTCCCCTGGAGAAAGCTCGTTTCCGGCGCCTTTAAACCAGGAAGTACTGGCTGCGTCCAATCCTGGCCCTTCTTTCGCACTTCGTCTTAGCGCCCGTTCCTGGCCGGGGTAGCGCGAGGAAAGCAGTCCGCGGTTACCAATCAGGTCTCAGGCGCATGCGTTGTCGAAGGAAGGAGGGTGTGTGTGTGTGTGTGTGTGTGTGTGTGTGTGTGGAGACGTACGGTGAACTTTGACCCGAAGGCGACCTCGTCTTTTCCCCACCTCCTTCTGTGTGAAGATGGCGCTCTCCAGGGTGTGCTGGGCTCGGGCTGCTCTGTGGCGTTCGGCGGTCAGCCCTGGACCTTATGTGACCCGGAGGCTGCAAATAGTTCACTCTTGCCTGGCCCTGGGGGCCCCTCGGTGAGGGACCCGGAGAGAGAAAGGCATTTTTGTCGTTCAGGCCCTTCCAGTGTCTCAACTTTGTTTGCATGCTGTCTTTTAATTCTCAGGGTTCCACGCCTCGGCCCTCTGGGATATTTATTCTGCTTAGAATTCGCATCCGGATCCCCGCTAGTGACCCGGCTTCTTCATCTTCCCAACTCCGTGCCCCGTAGCGTGTGAATTTTCCGCGTAGCCTGAGTTCATCTTTCAGCCTCCCATTTTCGGTTCAGGTTTTATCGCTGTCCACCTGGGTCCCACGTTTCTCTGACCTTAACCTGCCGCTGACATTGCTCCTCGGGCCTGCGCTCTCTCCAGACCCGTACCACTCCCCTACATTCCTGCCGGGCCTCTCATCTGCCTAATTTGTTTTTATCAATTTGATTCCTTATCTTTCCTAGGCCTCAAGATCTTTGGGTTTCAGAAGTTTCAGGTCCTAGCATACATTCTCTTAGGCTGGTGTTTTCTATTAGGGACTCTGGTGGGAAGGAGACTGATTCCCAGATAGTCTCTTTGATCTCCCTTGTAGGTCTTCAAAGCTTCACCTATCTCCAAAGGCAGATGTGAAGAGCTTGATCTCTTATGTGATGACCAAGACAAAAGTGATTAGTGGGAAGTACCATCGTTTCTTGGGTCGTCATTTCCCCCGCTTCTATGTCCTGTACACAGTCTTCATGAAAGGTAAAAACAAAAGTAAAATAGAAATCTCCTGAATCAACTCTCGGACATTGTCAGAATATTAGAATAAGTAAGATCATTTGCAGGTTCTGCTCTGGGGCTGTAAGCTGGGATGTTGTTTCATAAATACTTGAGCATTAAACTAATTTATATAAATTAGCACTTCTTGAGGCTATTTCTAGGAAGGTATTATAAAAAACAATTTCTTACAACACTGTTGGGGAATATAGGTATTTTCTTAACCACACACCCTGCTGTAATAGAAAATCTTTGTCATGCATAAAGGCAGGGATCTATGCACAGATGCACCCTGTGATTTATCAGTTGACTTGGTTCATGAGAAAATATGGTCTGATGCTTGTCACAAATGTATTCTGGGTAAGAATGTTGTGGAAATGGCACTACATGCACTTGGTTTCTGAATGTTTTGGTCCAAGTCAGCCCTGTTAGTTTCTAGGAGATGGTATAGTGTCAGGTGTCCACTGGAGCCAGACTGCCTGGTTTAAAATCCCAGCTTATCACTGTTGCCTCTGTGTGATTGGACTAATTACTTAATCTCTGCCCTTTTATTTTCTCATCTATAAAATGAATGTAATAATAGAATCTCCCCATTCACCACGTTGTTGTGAAGATTAAATAAATTAATATAGGTAAAGTGCTTAGGGCCTGATACAGTAAGTGCTCAATAGGTGTAGCTATAACTATTGTTATACCCTCTGCTTTTATTGTAACACCAATTATAGTAAACTACATTGTCAGTTCTGAATATTTTCATAATGATTACTAGCTTCATAGACTTGCAAAGTCTGTAAAGTGGAGATAAGAATGACTGCATTGATTGCTCCCTGGTTTATAACCAGCATCAAATGTGAAAAGGATCTGAAAGCATTTTGGTTGGTTTATGTCTTTTAATATGGAAAATTTTAAACATACCCAAAAGCAGAAAGAAAAATATAGTATACTGCATGTATTCAACCTCACTTCAACAATTATCAGCTCATTGCTGCCAATCTTATTTCATTTATATACTTGCCTTCTATGTTATTTTGAAGCTAACCTAGACATTATATAATTTCATTCATAAATATTGGAGCATTTTTAAAAAAACAAAAGTCCTAGATAAGTGTTAAGAATTATAGAATGAAGAGGAAAATGCAATCATAGAAATATGTTGAATTACAGTAGTTATAAAAGTGTTTCAGAAAGGAGATAAGTTATCTGGTTGGGGAATACAGAGGGTTAATTGAGCAAGAATTCCTCAGGTTAGGGAACTTTAAATTTTTATTTTAAAAAGCGAGTGAGTAATGAACCAAAAGAGGAAGACTATCCCATAGTAGATCACAGAAGGCCAACTTGGCTAGGAGAGAGGTGATGTGCTGTGGGGGAAAGGATGAGAAGGAGACAATAGGTTGGCCTCGTAAGAGTTTCAAGTGAGCTAGTTTAAAGCTTTTGATTTAGACGAGTGCTGAGGAGGGACAAGTGTGTGTTGTGGGTGAACATGGAATAGGAAGCTGTGGTAAGATTCAAACGGGTGACATCACACTCTGTCCTCTACTTTAATGAGGCAGGATTGCAGATGTTATGGGCTGATGCCAAAAAGGCTAGAAGAATAAAGACAAATATGTGGAAGCACAATATAAAGTTTCATCAACTTTCATACCGGGAGATGGAGCATTTGAGACAGGTATGGGCTGGGGGCAGATACCCAGAAGTTCATGGTAAGGTAATTGAAGTTAACCAGGATCTCATTTTTTCTTTCCTATCTTATTCACCACTGACCAAAATTTGCCCTTTGCTGGGAGATCAAAGTATTGAACTAAATGAGAGTATCAAGATTGTCAAAATTAGGTCCATTCAGAGATGTAGCCTTGCCATAGCAGAGCTTCATAGAGTTTTTGGCACGCTTTCTGAATTAAAGTTGTAAACTCTTAAAATTTAATTTGGTTCTGAACATATAAAAATCTCTTAAGATCTGAAAGGTAGCATGAAAGTAATATTTGGTGGTGACTTGATGGGTAGTTTTGAAGCTGAAAATAAGAATCTAGGACCTATTTGGCAGATCAGGAAGAATTCACTGAGGGATCTGGTATAGTGACAGGCCCTGTATGAGACATATTTGGGATACAAATGTGAACAAGTCAGGGCTCCTGTCCTCAAGGAGCTTACCAACTAGAGGTAGATAGAAATAACCTCAGTTCCTTCTGGGTTGTAATACTTTACTGCACAGGGTTGGAGGGATTGTCTGTCACATTACTTGGGTTAAAATGTCGTCTGTGTTTATTTCCACTTAGTTCCGTCGAGATGTCACCAAGTGTCTTTTCCTAGGTATTGTTTCCATTCCACCCTTTGCCAACTACCTGGTCTTCTTGCTAATGTGAGTACAGATTTCTAGCTCCACAGCATATTGAAAATAAATATTTTTTTAATTACAAATTATTTTGAGAACTTTCCCTTTCAGAAGCTCGGTAGACATTGTCAGACTTCCTGCTCCAATCTTCTCTTTAGCCCAAGGTTCATAAAAGCCACTCAGTAACACCTGGGTTACTGAGACAGTATGGGTGTAGGTGGCCTAGACTCTCCCCATCTCTTAGCTGCCTCTGTGTGATGTGAAATAAGATAATGACCTTTCTCATCACCCTAGAGGCAGCAGCCCACTCCCTGAGAGGCATAACAATTTGGGACAAACGTTTTTCTTCATGAGAGAAATGCTTTCCATTTAAGAATTATTCTGATAACTTAAGTCTTTATTACTTTACTTTGTATCTGAAGATGGCACTTTTAAATTGTGGCCTTGCATGTTGTTCTAGTTATCTGTTGTGTAACAAACAACCTCAAAGCTTAATACCTTAAAATAAAAGTCCCTCAGTGATATTTAGCTGGTGAATGGACTAGTCTGGATGGTGAAAAGTCACTCTATGTCTGGTGCCCAGGCGGGGATGGCTCAAAGATAAATCATCAACCAGAGTGCCTGCATGTGGCCTCTTTACTGTGGTGGCTGCAGCATAGTGGGACTTCTTACATGGCAGCTCCGGGCTCCAAGAGTGAGTGTTCCAGCAATTAAGACTCTGTGTGGCCTTTTGTAACTTAGCCTGGGAAGTTACAAAAACCCACTTCTACTCTGCTGAGTCAGTCACCAGACTAAAAACGGGAGATGTAGCCCTCACCTCGTAATAAGAGGAGTGCCAAAGAATTTGTGACCATGTTTAAAAACCACCACACATGTAGAGCAATGAATTAGAAAACAAATTTCCCTTTTGCATTTTGTATACACATAATGATGTGTGTCAGCATCACATACAGCATCCAGCTTTCTGTAACTCTATCCAAAATATGTTCTTCATCTACTTTAGTTCAGAAAGAGTTATTTTATCTGATTGTTTCATGCAAGGCTTTCCCACCACTGCTTCCTCTCACATAACATCTGTAATTTTGCTTGGCATTGTGCTCCAGTGTATCTTTAAACCTTGGTGAGAGATGTACAAGAAAGGATGGCGAGGTAGGGAAATAGTGTCTCCATCTTTTCCTCCTAGTATTCATGTCTACCCTCTGCTTTCTTGGCTTACTTTGAAAGATGCCAGTTTTAGCAAGTGACTTTATGATTTCTTTTCCTTTGAGGTACCTGTTTCCTAGGCAGCTACTGATCCAACATTTCTGGACCCCGAAGCAACAAATTGATTTCTTAGATATCTATCATGCTCTCCGGAAGCAGTCTCACCCAGAAATCATTTGTTACTTAGAAAGTGTTATCCCTCTCATTTCTGATGCTGGACTCCGGTGGCATATGACAGAACTGTGCACTAAGGTATGTTCCTCTGGTTCTCCCTTCCTGCAAACGAGGAATCCTGTTAGATCCAGTTTGCACTAAAACTAAGAAAGTAGACTAGTCAGGACCTTCCTGACATCTACCAATCTCTTACCTCATCCAAGATACAGCATGGTACCCACCCAGCGATACATGAAATCCTGGCTCTGAGAGAATGTTTCTCCAACCATCCTCTGGGCATGAACCAACTCCATGCTTTGCAAATGGTGAGCGCTTTGAGGCCTTCTCTTTTCCAGAGCCTCACCTTGCTTCGGGTCTTTGCCTGCGGTAACACTACATTGATTTTCTCCTATACTGTCGTGCCACAGAAAGCCTTGAGCCGAGCCATGCTTCTCACACCTTATCTGCCTTCTCTCTTGTTGAGACACCGCTTGAAGACTCACACCATTGTGATTCACCAGTTGGACAAGGCTTTGGCAAAGCTGGGGATTGGCCAGCTATCTGCTCAGGAAGTCAGATCGGTAAGAGCTTGATTGCCGTGTCATCCTTAGTCCTGGATGGGTTTTTCAGCTCACGGGGCTGGGAGCTTCCAGAGAGCTCTTTGTCTTGCTTGTTAGAGCAAAGCCCAAGCTCTTCATTCTCTCCCCTCATTTCTATGTCTTTTTTCTCAGTGAACTAAACTTATGGGAAGGAATTGCTGTAGTAATTTTGGTTTATGTTTCTTCTCTTCTGGCCTTACCAAAACCAAAGACCCTACTCTTCAGACCTACTGTTTTCATTTTTGGAGGCGTTTGCTTATCATCTTATCCATCATGGTTTAAATTACCAAGTGAAAGGTTTCTTGTGGGAATGAGGTTACAGCTTATTGGAAGTAAATTTTAGATTATTTGTGGGTTTACTGTTTTGTGGCATATTTGCTCTGTGATTATAAAGGACCATTTCTCTTCTGTGTGATATAGGCTTGTTACCTTCGTGGCCTGAATTCTATGCATATTGCTGAAGAGAGGTGTCGAACTTGGCTGGGAGAATGGCTGCAGATTTCCTGCCGCCTAAAAGGTGAGACAAATCCCTGTGGTTGTGCCACTAAAGTCCAACTCATTTTTGTATTTTATTCTAAGCTTGCTTTGGAGTTAATTATTGAGTACTGTAAGACCCTTATCTAATATATATGTCTGATTGAAAAGGGCACACTTATTTGCCTACAGGGGTAAAGCAGGTGGTGAAGTAGACTGCAAGACAAGAGGGAGTGGTGGGGATTGTGGGAGACCAGAGTGCATGCATGCTAGTCTGCAGCACTTTCTCAATCTTGGCACTACTGGTGCTGTATTTTGGGGGGCTATCCTGTACATTATAGGGTGTTTAGCACTATCTATAGCCTTACCAACTTGAAGCCAGTAGCAACCCCTCAACCCAGTTCTGACCACCAAAAATACCTCGACATTGCCGAATGTCTGGGGCAGGGAGTGGGGTGCCAGCAGAATTGTCCTAGTTGAGAAGCACTAAAGGCATTCAACTTCAAAAGCAGAACACTCAGTTGGCTAAACAAAAAAGTATCTAAGGGTGGGTGTTAGGCCTATGGGCCTCCCAGGTTGGAAACTCTGGCTAGGTGTTGATGTTTTCTAGGCCTGTGAATGTCAGGGTAGGCCTACTAATCTCCTTGGAGCTGAGAAATGTCCCCTGAGCACCAGCTTCTCCCAGAAGAATCCCAGGGGTAAGAGTGGTGTTTTAGTACCTTTACCATCTCTGAATTTTCTACTGCTATCACCTGAGAATCAAGAAATGAGGGTGAGTAGATAGGAATATGTGGTGGAAGGAAAGGAAAGTAGACATGCCTGGACTGCAAGGAAGCAGGGAACTTTGAGAACAGTAGTCCCTTAAAACCACACCACCCTGCACTTGGCTTTCCACCTCTGGAATCAAGCCCTGTACATCAAGGCAATTAGAAGGCTAACTTCCCTGGCCAAATCATTAACAGTGATGGTGTTTGCAGAAGCTGAGCTGTCCCTTTTGCTACACAACGTGGTCCTGCTTTCCACCAACTACACTGGGATAAGGCGCTGACTGGACATGGAGTGGATGGCATTGTCCTGCAGTCACATAGCACAGCTGCGAGGGACCAAACAGCACTTGTCACAAAGTCTGCGCACTTAGGTGTGCGGGAGCAGAGGAGCGGGTGCCACAGGCTTCCCAGTGTGGTACCCACGTGGGAGCTGGAACTGAACAAACCCTTCCCCGGGGTGGCCCAGGTGAGGTGTCATCCCAGCTTCCTCAGAATTGGTAGCAGCCTTTTCTGGACTTTTACTGTGTTGTCTTACATTAGGATCATAGGAAGTAAGCTTTTGCCCCAGGTAGGAATCCTCAGTGGCCTAGGACTGCTCCACTGCCATATTCTTTACAGCCGTGTTTTTGTTTAAAGACTGGCTGGTGAGGGGAACAGCACTACTTAACCTGGAGCGTTTAGCTGCATGCATGCACTTGGATACGCCCCTCAATCCTGGTACTACCAAAAGTTTTTTTCCTTATCCCCAAGGCAAGCACTCCTTTGATCACCTTAACTTTTGTTTTTTAACAAACAACTTTCTAATGGAAAAGATAAAGGAAATACAGGCATTTCTTGACCCTTTCCCCAGCATTTATAGCCTTTACTCAAAACTCTTTGCTACCTCCACTGTGTCGCAGCATTCCAACTGCAACTGACAGTGGCTGCCTTCTTTGGGCCATGGAGTAAACCTGTAAGGTACTAATTATTGCCTACCCCAGGAGACCAGGAAAGGTGTGCAACAAGATGAGGAAGTTGAGTTTAGCTTTTGTCTATGTACATCAGTGACCTGTAGTAACTTACTGTAAATGCATGAAGCACTGTCCTTAAACCCAAGTAAAGACTGCCTGAAACCAGTTGCTGGAAATTACTTATGCATTCTCTAATTCTTTTGCTAAGGCTCCTTTTACAAGACTCACATAACCTGACTAATGGGGTTGGAATAGAACCTTCTGATGGAAGTCATAAGGGAACTGATTTGATGACCCTCCTGCTGGATTTTAAGATGGTAACTAGGAATAGAATTTCATGTACATATATACATATACATATACATACACATACATATATATATACACACACACACACATGCACAAACCCACTCATACATATATACAAAGTAATAGAATTGGAAAATGGGCTCCAGGGGCAAGGAGGACATAGAGAAAGCTCCAGCGGGGCAGGATCAAGGCCTGCTTCAGCTGAAGAGGTGCCTAAGGGTATATGATGCAACTCAAGGTCTTGACACTCCAAAGAGAATGTTCTATTTTTCTACCATAGAACATTTCCATTGTTAACATTAATCCCTAACTGACCTAATTAGTTTTATATACAGTGCTGGAGAAGCATCCTTTTATCTAACAAGTAACTGAATTGTGGCCTGCCAAGATAAAGAATAACACACCATTCTTTGAATATTTCTTTAATATTACATTTAAATATTCTTTTTAAATACAGCATTATCACAATGTAAAGGACCTAAAAGGGGGGAAAAAAAAGTTTTCAGAGAACCGAACAAGCTTTGGATTCACATTGAAAATACTACCTGTGTATAGTATGTGAGAAAAAAATTGGAAAATAACAAGTCATTTCTTTTATCTAGGCCTAGAGTGAGCAGGACTGAAGCTGTCTGCTTCTGTGATCAAGGCCTAGCTTTTTGAGCAACAATGAGCTATAATTCTGTCCAACTCAGGTAGCACCAGAAACGAGATGGACTAGGTTGTAGAGAAGGCCCTTTGCTTGACAAGACAGTTAATGCTAAATATTAATATTAATATTTAGCATTGGGATCAGTGTGAGAATTATAGAGTTAATGAAGGGAGGAACTTAGATTAAGAAACTAGTTTTTTGGAAAAATCAAATATTGGGGATTGGCAATGAGCTTAATATTTAGATTCAAATTCTTGGTTTGATCCCAATGTCTCTTGTTGAGCAACTGGAATCCACTTCCTAGATTAGACTGTACCTTTCCTAAGGAGGGTATATGTAGAGCCTCCCATTCCAATACCAATTTTCAGAAAAATCCTTCTCTATAGAGTCAAATTCCAATGAAGCTTTAATCTTGTATTTGAGGGAACCAGCCCAAGGAGAGGGAATATAGCTCAGTTTGGGATAACATCTAGATCTCCAGTATTTAAGACTCTCAAGTGTTTAGTGTGATTAGAAGATGGGGACAGATGAGGACCTATGTACTTAATTAAGAACTCTGCTTCAAATGTAAAACCAAGCAAAAACAAGTGAACAGGAGAGACAGAATGTGTTAAAGGGTGTATGTGTGTTAAATATAAGGTAGCCTTTCAGGCTCAGTTTAGAGATTTTATAGGTAAAATGCTGCTGCAACATATATGAAGGTTGCTTTAAGACACCAGGGCCTTAACATCCCACAGATAAAGGTAAATAGGAACAATTCTCTATCCCACAAAAAAAAAAAAAACAGTTTCTCACTTTTTCTTTCCTGGGTAATAAACCGCAGCAGAAGTGAAGCATGGTATAAAGGATGCTAGAGAAGAGTGTTTTGCTCCCTACTGTCTCCATTTTAAAACAGAGGCAAAGATAACTGTGCTAATAAAGTGTTCAGAGGAGCACATCCTGGAACATAAGCTGGACATTTGAGGAACAGGAACCATATCCCCCGTTAAGAGGTAAGAACTGAATTTGAATCCCACTCTATAGACCTCAAAGGTTATAATCAGAACTCAAATTCTTTGGAACCCAGGAGTTGTATGTAGCACTTAAGAATTGGTGTGGCTTCCGATTTTTATGTATCAAGATGCAAGATGAGCATTTGCAGTTCGTGGGGATGAAATGGAATAGTATAAGAACTCTCTAACCTGTATATCCAAGAAGGATCACGAGGGAAGCCACAGAAAAAGAACATAAACCAGTTAGTGACTTTAGGTTGCCACATCCTACATTCCTTTATAAAGCTCAAATCTTCCAAAATGGGGAAAAGAAAACCTGGGTGAAAAGCTGATTGACAGAGCTAATGCTGGACACACACAGAAGACGCAGCAGGCTCTTTACACCAAATCCCCAACTTGCTTTTCTTCAAAGGAAAAAGGAGGGGAAAAAGACAGACATGTTAAACTCTAGTACCTAAGAACATGTGAAAGAATTCAAGTTACAGACCAGGAATCCCCAGTGTGGGGAACAGGTCAGAGAACAGCAAACACGTCAAATATCAACTTATTTACCAAATAGGGGGCCAGGGAAGAAAGGTTAAATTTTTGTAAATCCTGGAGGTGTTATACGGAAGCAGAGACCCTTCTACCCCCTCCTCTCTAGATTTAACCAGGTGACACGTCCTGCTGTATTATGATACACCAAAGTGGGCTATCCGAGTAACCACTTGAGAAAAATGAGCTTGTATCCCACCTGGAGCTCAGGACAGGAGAAGTGGCTTCGCCATGTTGTTCAAATTATTGTGTTCTGGTCCCTACATAAAGAAAGCTGCTTGAATTACCCAGTTTCTCCTGTGAGTTCCTAGTTCTTTGTTCCAATGGCCCAAAAAGCTCAGTATTCAGCACTATGCAGCCTCCTTGGTTCTGTTTACCCTTTAGAAAATACTTGTACAAACAATCCTTTCCCACCCATTCCCCAAAGACCCCAATAAAATAACAAGGGAGTAGCAGCTGCTTCTACAGTTCTGTTTTGAAATGGCATTAGATAAAATAAGGGAATAAATAGAGAGTGGGTAAGAGGCAGAATCTCCAACCCTGTGTCACACTGCCAGCGGGAGCTCCAGGGGAGACTCTTCAGGGGGCCGGTCCTCGCTCTGCTGTGAAGTCTCCTCCACCCCACAGCCCTCTTCATTGTCCGTGCGGAAGGGGAGGTTCGAGGGGGACCAAGAGGGGCGTAAGTTTTCATTCGCAGGCTCCTCAGGGTTATAGTCTTCGGGCACTAGCGCTTCTAGAGTGGCTGTTTTCCCCACCTCTGATTTACAGAGGGCAGCTGGGTCTGCGGGGCTGCAAGCCACCAGTGAGGTAACAGGGAGAGAGAAGACATTCAGCTCCTTCTCCTTGGGGAAGGTGGGTGGGCCTTCTTCTGTGCTAGGCTCTCCTTTCACCCCAACGACTGGTCTCTGCTCCACCTGATAATAGACCAGGGGCCCACTGTTCAAGTAGGATGGGCTGTTCACTGCTGAGGCAGTTGGGTGGTCCGAGTTCTCGGCAAAACAGAGCACGGAGGAGCCTGGGGGCAGCTGGGCCTGGATGAGAATGGGTGCTGTAAGGCCTGGGCACAGCTCTTCAGGAACAGCCAGCGGCTCCTCCAGGATGCACACACCCAGGCTCTCTATGCTGGAGTCCAGGCTGGCGCTGGAGCCACTGGAGTCTTCCTCCGCCTTGAGCCGCTCCAGCTCCTCTGCACTCTGCAGGTGCATCACTGCTGTCTCATTCTCAGCAATGAACTCCTGGAAGTCCTGTGTCTCAGAGCCCTGGGCTCCTGGCAGGCTGCAACTGGCAGTGAGCGAGGGCTCCTCATCTGGGGCTGGTGGGCGGCTCACTTGCCGCTTGCTCTCCAGCTCCAGTTTCATGATGGTGTGGAGGTAATGAGTCCGGACCCGAATTGGATTAAATTCAATGCGTCCAGCCATGTTCCCACAGCCATCCCGGGAGCAGCCGCATGGAAAGGACATGCGATCCACCTGAGGGGACAAGCAGGTTGAGGCAAGATGAGACCAATAGATCTAACACTCGAGGTAGACCTTAGCTGGCAAGCATGGGTAGTTGGGATTTGAGGTCTTCTCCCAAGAGAGAAAACCAAATGAAAATGTAACGCAGCACTAGCTAACAGAGAACTAGATGGTAGTCATCAGACGGCTTGCATTTTCATTCCAGCAGAGTGGCTAATTAGTAGTGTGACCTCAAGGAAGTCATTTACCTCTCTGGAGCTCTGTTTCCTCTTCTAAACAAAATGTAGACCCAGATTATGTCAAAGGGCCTTTTCCAGTAAAAAGTCCAGACATGTTTCTGATAACAGTTTGCTCAGAGAGAAAATTTATGTGCCTCAGAGACTTCTAGAACTTACCTGGCTGATTGAGAAAACAAAGCCTGTGGCCTTCTACAATGACAGGCATGAGAAAAGGAGTAGACGATATAGCTAGTCTGAGACAATACATTCCGGGAAAACGAAGCAAAAGTGCCTTAGTTTGCTAAGGTGCCAAAATGAAGGTGCAAACCAAGTAATGGCCAGCTTTTCACTACCTCCTTCATCTTCCCCTGATAGTTGACCAGTTTAGTTATGAAGCAGATACCAACGTAATTAACAGACCAGAGAGATCTGTAAAGGAGATGCTTTCTACCTACCTCCTTACCTCCCTTTTGGATCCCCCAAAACAACCCACATGCCAAAAATACAATTAAAAATTTAAATGTGGGTGAGCAAATAAATACATAGAAATAGACATTATCTTCCTATGATATAAACTTTTAGAACTCTCCATCTGGCTCTTAGGAATAGTCCAATTCTTAGAACTATTCTCAGGTCTATGTATAACAAGACTGATTCACTATGGAACTTCAATCTGGAAAGCACTATTTGGCCAGATCTCCTACAGCTAGTACCTACCTAAAAATAAGAAAAGTTTGGTTAGGGTAAATTCAACCCCAAGGACTCAGCACTCATATCTTCCATATATAAGGTCCAGATAAACTGACTTCTCTGGGATGGTATTGCTGTTTTCAACTGAGATGTGTCCTTCAAACTGTCCCTTGTCAGAAGGCCAGCTAGAGGGTGATGCTTTATCTTCTAGAACACTATAAGCTCTGCCAGGCCAAATCTGATCCCGAATTATAGGATTTGACAATTCTTTTGATTTTTTATAAAACCGGAATAGAGGTACTGTTAAGTGTTTGCAAGATAAAATCCAAAGGCCTACCTCATTTCTCTGCTTTTATCTCAAGGAATCAGTCTGTATTTAAGGGTCAGCTATTAAATGTTAAACTTACTAACCCCTGTGCCTTCAATTTGCTGAAAGCTGCTGCTCATCATCTCTGAGGTGAGAAACACAGAAAAGATAATTGCTGTTTTACAGCCTAAGAATCCTGTCATGCTTATTTTCTTTCTTAGTGGAAGAGGGTTGTGGAGCTGGGGAGTGTTCAGTCATGGGGATTCCACTCATGGTAGGCAGCCTCCCATGCTCACTGGCATCCCACATCACATCCCCCTGACTAGTGTAGATACACCATCTCAGGCCAGCTTGTACTGACCTGGCATTTAATCCCAGCCTGGCTACAGGCACATGCTTCTGGGTCACAGTACAGCCGACAGTCACAACCACACTCTTCCCGTGACAGGCGGATGGCTCGAAGTTCTTGCTTCTCTTCAGCATCAATGCGGTGGACCCCAGAAGCCCTCAACAGGGCCCGTCGCCGTTTGGTGGGCAGAGGCTGCAGGAAGAAGTAATCGTCCACCTCCACGTTTTCTACATCAATATCTTCATCTGAAACATCATCCAGTGTCAGGCCATCAGCCTCCACTGACTCCACTGTCCCATTCTTGGTCAGCTGCCAAGAGACAAGGAAAGGTTAGCCTCGAGAATATTACCAGCCTTCTCACAGTGGGCATCTAGAGAAGTACGGTGCATCTGAATTTTCTGTGATGATGGAAATATCCACGTTTCCCCCAGTGCAGGTGGCTACTGAGCATTGTAAATGTGGCTGAGAAAATGATTTTTCAGTTTATTTGATTCTAATTACTTACAAATAGCCAGATATAACTAGTGGCTAACCATACTGGATAGTGTAGGTCAAGAGGATAAATCTAGAGCAGGAAGACCAGAAGCCTCCTGCAGAGCTAAACGCACTCTGTCAGCACAAGGGACATCATCTTTCTGGATTGAAGTTTCTCAAAACCTTTGTCTCATCTTCTCTCCTAGGAGACAACCTCTTCCCCTAAATATGCACTTCATCCCCAGTTCTAACACAGGAGAAGGTACATCAATGGTTGGATGTTCCTTGGATGTACAGATAGCTTGCAAAACACCCTTCCATTTGTACCCCAAAGGACCCAAAACCATTCTGGGAAGAAGAGTACATTCAAGTGTAGTACAAGGCTCCCAGGTCTGTCAATGAAACTGAATCCCCACAGTGTGAACAATTACCTGTGCGTGTACAAAACAGCATTTTATCAAAGAAAGCCCTGCTCTCCAACCCATAGCCTAGAAATACATTCTTCCTCTTTCCTAACCCCTTTTTATTTGATATCAGAAGTGCAGAAATCCTGGTTCTTTGGGCTAAGGGTAGACAGCTGGAAAAGGGAACCTCAGTGGAAGGACAAGTTAAAGACAATCTGTGGCTGAATGAGTTTTGAAAACTCCCTAGAGAATTCAAGAAAGAAAATGAGGCCTTCTAATCCCTGGGGCTCTGGAAGCTACTAGTAGGATGAAAGCCAAGCTACTGGAGGGTTGGGCTTATTTCATCAGACAGCCAGAGTAGTGCTGGTAAAGGAACAACTCCTGTGAGAGATGTGATGCAACAGACCTGGGTAATAACCTGTTTTTTTGTTTGTTTGTGGGGAGCTGGTGGAAAAATGAGAGAAATAAAGTGGTGCCTTTGGGGGTTTTCTAGTCTGTTATTTCTGTGCCAGGCAGACCAACTACAAGGGGCCTTAGGGTTGCTCCTGTCTATTTCACCTGGGCTGGCCTCCTCCTAATCACCTCCCTCCTGCTCTCCTCTCAAAGGAAAGAGATTAGAGATGCAACAGAAAGAAACCCATGTAGATACGAGAATTTAATGCACCATTATTGAGGTGACATTTCAAATCAGAAAAAATCTTCTAATCACTAAATGGTACTAGAACAACTGGACATTCTTTTGAAAAAAATAGGTTCCCAATTCATACCATTAATAACAAATTCCATATGGTTAAAAGACCGAATTTTTTAAAAAAATTGTAACATTAGAAAAATTATAGGTAACTAAAGCTACAGAGCACCAGCAGCTTTCCTTTTTGGTGGCAGCCCAAAGGACAATTAAATGGCTTATGGGAGATGCAAAGTATGTATTTTTGAAACCAAATGCCTTCCCCAAAGAGTGCTAAAGATAGGAAAAATTTTTAAGTAAAGAGTAAACTGGTCCTGGGGAGGTCAAAGTAAGGGTTTTCTCTTGACACAGAAAGATCTATGAAATGCCACTACTGCTGGTGCTCATTACATCTGCTAATAAGGAGGAATCCTGTATTTCAGCCGTGTTTGCTTGGCTTTGCCTCTACAACAGGATGGTATCCTTTGACAAGTCATTCCTCTACCAGACTTAGGAGAGAGGTCTCTTTTAGGAAAAGGGAAGAAAGCCTTCATGATGAGAACTGTTTATTTGCCCAGCTGTTGCTATGGCAGCAGGAAGGTGATAGGGTCAGTGATGGAATTCCTCCAATGGAAAAAAGGGAAGTCTAGATGTCATTCTAGTTAGAAAAACAGGTGTTAGGCTTAAGAAGTAGGCTGGGGGAAGCAGACACAGCTCTCCTCTCAAAGGGGAGAAAGGAATGAGGTCTAGTCAGCCTCTATCTTCTGCTCCCAGTTCTCCAACCCTACATTTTGCTGTCTCATTAGGATTTCACCTTCAAGACTGGAAATAATGCAGCCACCTGTTTTAATATGGGTCAGCATACTTTGGGCCCTTAAGAAATTTGACCAGGCCTAAACTTGACCAGTGTTCTCCAAATCTGGAACGAGGCACTCGGAGGGAACAAATGGGTAGCTATAAAGAGCCATCTGAGATGGATCTTCTTCCAGGCCCACTTTCCTCCTAAACTTGAAGAGCTGATGTGGTATCAGATGGTAGGCTGGTACTAAACAAATCAAAACAACAATTTGGCAATGCCATTGTTTACACCTACAAGACTCTTTATCACCTAGAGGCAATAGGGGTGATAGAAATAAAAAGGAGCCTTTCAGAGAATGTAAAAGCCAAAACCTGTTCTGTGCACCAGGGCAATGGATGATGATCCGGCAAGAAACTGAAATATCGTGCATCAGGGGTGGAGACTTCGATGTTTCCAAATACTCACATTTTCAACTTTTTGTTTTCAGGCAGGCTATATTTCACTATCTCTGGTAGACTCCCCACCAGAGACAAAAGGAATGGTTCTCAAACTGAAATTTGGTTCCAAATCTGAGACTTCTCATTAGAAAGATTTGGACTCTCTATGTGCCAATGGTAATAGTCTAATTAAAAAATAAAATAAAATAAATAGACCTAGATGGTTTCCTGCTTTCATCTTGACACATGGAAAGTACCAGACCCCAGACCCCTTAGGCACCTTCATCTTCTTGGCATGGAGCTTCTCCTCCTTCAGGTGCTCACGAAGAATCTCCCGGTGGTTCACCTCTTGCTCCTGAGCAAACTCACAGAGTGTGTAGCTGCGTACAGAGTTATGGCGCTGGGCCATGCCCAGAGAGCTGCCACCCTGGCTGGGCACACTGGTGAAACCCTGGCGCCGGGCAAAGTAGTACACAGTCACCTGGTCAAAGCGCACATTCTTCCTCCGCAGCTGCTTCTGCCGCTTCAGGATGGATGTAGCTGAGAAGGGAGTACAGAACAGTTTTATTAACTGAGAGATGGCCTAGTTGGGGACCTCATTCACCTAGGCTCTCAACTCTTCTTCAAAGGTGTTCCTTGTACCTGGAGACTTCTCATTTTCAAATCATAAATGCACAGTTGGAAGGGACCTTGAACACCAGCTGGTCCATATCACTGCCTCTGGACTGACTTTAAACTCATGACCACAAAATCCATTTTTAGACATCAGCTGAGAAGAGGACCTCTAGGTAATCTTCCCAGGATATAACATCTATATAGCTTCACCGTCCAATACAACATCTACTAGCCACATGTGGCAATTTAAACGTAATTAAAATTGAAGTAAAATTTAAAATTCAGCTCCTCAGTTGCACTAACACATTTCAAATGCTCAATAGCCACATGTGGCTAATGGCTACCATATTGGACAGTGTAGAATATAGAACATTTCTATTATAATATTGGACAGTGTTGATCTATAGCAGGGGATGGCAAACTGTAAAGGGCCAGAGAGTAAATATTTTAGGCTTTGAAGGCCATCAAGTCTCTGTTGCAACTATTCAACTTGGCCATTGTAGCATGAAAGCAATCAGAGACAATGGGTGGAGCTGTGTTCCAATAAAACTTTATTTACAAAAATGGCAAACCCTGATAATATAGACTCAGTTCTTCCTAACTGAGCCATAAAAATTAAGCAATCTTGAGTTGCCGAGTGATCCAGGCAGTAAGCATTTATGTCCTGCTAGAGCTGCAATTTGCTGAAACTATGGGACTCTGGTGGGAAAAGGTAGAATCCTGGACTCCTCCCCTTCTTCAATTTAATTCAAACCACTCTGGGGACCCACAAACCACAGCACAAGTAAAATCAGCTAGAATAATATCAGACTTAAGTTTATGGTATTATAGTCATGAGGTCCTCCAAAGAGCAAGACTGAACTAAGAGTGGGAAAGCTGATGCTGAAAGGCAAATCCCGTAGCTGGAGAGAAGAAGCTCTCTCAAGAGCACCCGTGGGGTCTGGTGCCTGGGGGACGTGGGAGTTGGCACAGAGGGAACCGCTCACTCACGTGCGAAGCTGGCTGTTGTAGGAGGGTTGAGGCTGTCGCAGCTGTCAGCACTGTCACTACTGGAGATCTCATCGTCTGAGTTGGGAACTGATGAGCCCACATCCACATCGTCAAACTTCCTCTTGAGACCCGAGCCCGTGAATGCATCCATTGGTTTCAAAGGGGTTTCCTTGGGGAGCCCACCAAGTTGGCCCCAAAGCCCCTGCTCACCACCAGTTAGCCAGGTGCATTAGGATTCTGCCCAGGGGAAAAGAGGAATCAGCATTCCTGTCCTAAGACAGACCTTTCCCAAGTCTATATACACATGGCTCTCCAGCTGAAGAAAGCAAGCACCTGAGCTAGCACTGATGTCTGGTCTCTTGAGACCAGGCCATTTTTCTACTTATTCCAGCCAATATTCTCCTACTTTTGTTTCTCTTTAGCCCCTCCAGTCTCAGTCACCCTTAGAATAATGAGATGAGTAACAATAGCACCCTTCCCAATGGAGTGAAGGCCTTTGGTTCCAAGCCAGCTGGGCTCTAGGCTTCACGAGCTGGAGATAACAGTGGCTGCTCTCCTGATCACAGCGGAGAGCTCTCCAAAGGGCCAGCAGGAGGACTGGGGATCAAACGCAGAATTAGTCTGGGCCCAAGCCTACACTAGAGCCAATTATTTTTCCTAGTGAAAATATAGCCTGCTATTTCCCAATGTGTATATATTAAACCAGTCCCATGGATATTAATAGCTTTTACATGGAAATAGGACTGCTGTGTCAAAATAGTTTAGAAAACTGCTTATGGGAGGACCTCTTAGAGGTTTTTAATATGCTAATGAGCATGGTAAAGGGTAGGAGAAAAAAATGCATTTTTCACACACCTGATTATGGAACCCTTTGTTTCCAGGATATCTTAGTTAGGCCAAAGATCCTTGGAACATACTTTGGGAAATACTGCTCTAGGCTCCCAAATTCAAAGTACATTGGCAGCCAGGGAAATGCTTTACCCTGATCTTGACAAGTGTAGAGTGTCTCACCAGGTCCTAAAAAGGTCAAATTTGGTTCTAAAGAATGGACTGAAGATTAAAATCTGCACTAGCTTCAAAACCGAGAATCTTTCCCAGTCTCATACTGCTACATAAAATAGGGCTCGGGTGGTCTATCATCATCCTCTTTGCAAGGAAGGCTTAGCTTTACAGTCTTTGCCCTCTGTAAAGAAATCAGGAAGGCAAAAGAAGGGACAATTTACTCTGGTTACATTAGTAAAGCAGACAGTGTTTTCAACATGCTGTCACACAATGGGGAAGTCCGGGACAGTCCATTTCCCAGGGACAGATCTTTCTCCTTCTCTGTCTTTGGAATTAAGTTCCCAAGTATATAAATCTGCTCGACAGAAATGTTGTCAGAGCTGACGCCACATGTGATAATATGAAGTCTCCCTGCTTTGCCTCAGTAATGCCAGAATCTCCCCAGACTATGATCTCACTATTGCTAATTATGCAGCAGGAATAACAACACTGCCCAGAAAGACAGGGCTGCATTGCTGCAGAGCAGCTACCAGAATATACTGTGGGGTCAAGAGATGCCTGCTACAGAGCTGTTTTTCTGGACTGTGTCTTTAGAAGCAATTTGCCTGCTCTTAGATCAGCTCTGCATAGTCAACCAGGCCTACTCAGTAGTTTAGAGAAGATATTTCCCCACCTATCTATCTAGAGCTCATCAAAATTCTGCATTCAAGTCACAAGATGTACCTACAAAACCTCAGCTATCACAAGTCTCAGACAAGCATGCTCCTGGAATAAATTTGGCCAGGGAGGAAAAAATAATCAAGTACTTGATAAGAATTATAATTAAATTTTAAAATGAGCCCAACCTATCAATTATGTTCTTCAGGTGACTGATCTTCCTATCAGAGGTCACATTCCTAGGACACAGAAAGAATGGAGAGAGCCTGGGCCTTTTTATGAGTTAAGATTTCAGCTGGATTTAAAGATACCTATTAACTAACAAATTTCTAATTCCATTCTATTATTGGGGTGAGGGGGGAAACTTTACTATTGAGTACTTATGTCGGTGGGATTTAAAAAAAAAAAAGAGAATGATGTTGACTACTGAATTAAATTTTTCCTCCCCACTGAAAACCTTATCAACCACATGAAAACTCAGATTGAGCTGAAAAATCTGCTTTCTGAGAAAGAGCTGAAATACAGCTTCAGTTTTAGCTGAGATTCAGTTAGTGTTACTGCTAGGAAAGTGGCTTTTTCCTCAGCCTGGAAGCACTCCGGGGTTTGTGACCAGAAGCGAATGTGCACTTCTGTCCTCCCCTGGGTGCTCCTTTGCTTCCAGGGAGTGTGCATTCTCTTTGAGTATTTCTCCTTAAGCCCTGCCTGAAGTTGGGTCTGGTCCCAAAATCTTATTTATTATTAAAATTCTGTCTTAATCCAGTCACCCTCAGGGCTATCATTTCTTCACAGGTTACTTTTTGTGCACTCTGGTGCAGCAACAATTGCTGGCTGCTTCCTCCAGTCTCCTCCACCCTTTTTTCTAGATTTTCCCTACTTCCACTTCTGGAATAGTGGTTTCTGGGCAATGACAGGAGGTAGGTAAGAAAGGAGAAAAAAAACAAAAAAACACTGACACCTAGGAGAGAGTTTCCTTAAATGCCTGAGAATAATCTGAGTCTATGACTATCTGTGTAAATAATGTGCATACTGATTTAGCTCTCCTCACCCTACCCAAGATCTGTTAGCATCACTTGCTCTGACATTAACTCCCTTACATTAAAAAAGCAAAATCTAATTCCATACTGACAACCAGTGTAAGTTTAAGTTTCAACCCAGATCTCCATGTCCAACTCACTGGTGTTAACTTGTTAAAGATATTCACTGGGCACCAAGAACAAATCTCCCATCCATTTCCACAGTGGTCCAAAGAGATCCTACTTCGCAACAGCAACAACTAGAATAGGTTCCACACTTTCCAGTTCATCAAATCAACCTCTTTTCAAACCAGAAGTAGAAATCAGTCATTCCAACCTCTCTCAACTACTCATTAGCAGAGGATCAATGCATATGTTCAAGAGAAACACTTCTAAGTTGTACTCTAAGCACCTTAAACCCATACAGAAATAATCAAGGTGAGATTGGAAATGTAGATCATAACTGACAGTTCATAACTGACAGTTAACTGTCAAATGACCAACTCAAACAACAAATGATTTTGGAGAAAAGAATGCAAACCTTTATTAGAGCTTTTAAATGTCAGGGAAATGAAAGGTCTGCAGACGTTTTCTGGCTACATGCTTTGTGGTCTTTTCTCAAGTGTTGCTAGCTGAACATTCCCCAAATGTACATGGAGTAATTCAGCTCCACAGTATACACATATATATAGGAGATAATAGGCTAGCACCAAATACACTAGATTGGCAGCATATGTGTATTTTAGTTCTAGATCTAAGCTTTTTCAGACCTGTAGGATTCCTATTAACAACCCCCCAAAACAAAAAGCAGCATACATAGGACTAGCACAAGCCGGACTGCCCAGAAAAAGGTCTGCTGACATTCAGTGGCTATGTGTCTCATGGTCTCTTCATGGATGCAGAATGTATTTGCAAAGTTTAGGGCACAAAAAGCCTCTTTCTTAAATGAGCCCAAAATACTAAGATAAAGTACATCTCACAGGAGAAAGCCTCTCCACTGGACTGGAACCCTGGAACCCAATCTTCTGCTAAAGGTCAAGGGACTAAAACTGCTAGTAAGATCATCAGGCCTCTCATCTGTAGCTGGGTTAGAGGAAGGTAGGCTTGCTGCTAAGTGTTATGATAAACCTGAGTAAGGTGACCAGTCCTGTTTCTCCTTTTACAAAATACTGTGGTTGATTCGAAAAATGCTATGAATTTTGTGGGTCCATGGGTCCTTGTGATTACCAGGTCACTTATAAAGCACTCATGTGACTCCTGTTTAAGGTAGGTATTTCAAGGGAATTGGGAATTTACCACCACCACCACCACCCAAACCCTTACTCCCTCGTTTTTATCCATTGGCTGATACAAGGTTAGAATTTGGCTTTCATGTGCCCCTGGAGGACACATCCTCTGAAGGGACACATCTTTGTGGGAGTACAGGAACATGATGCTGCAGGAACCATTAATTCTCAATGATATCCAGTCATTTGTAACTCTAGCACACTCGAACATCCTCCTGGCTTTGGAGCTTTGCAAGATGGAAAGTCAGTAAAGAAAAGGAAAATCTGAAGCAACTACAGATTTACCTTGAACTGAAAACTGCAGGACAAGGGGACACTGGGTCTCCTGGGGATAACTTCTAACATTTCATATTGAAGAATGCTTTGTGTGTCACGCTGCCACTCTAAACCCCTTTAAAAGGATGAATCAAGATCATGGCACTAAAAGGCAAGGATGACAGTCAGGTGCGTGTTTGGGCCTGTGAGAAAAGATCAAGCTAGCAAACCAGGGCAGGCGATGCTTTCATTTTCCCACACAACGTCAGAAAAATAGGAGACATCAGGAACCTGAGCTAAAAGGACATGTCAAGTCACCAGTTCCCATTAATGGGGTCCCTTGCTGAGCCCTCCAGCTCCCGGCCCATTTCTGATTCCTGCTAGGCTTCCCGCTCATTCCAGTCCTCTGCAGCCCCTACCCAGCCTTCCTCATCCCTTCCTGCTGCTACTCACAAATTCCCAACCACTCCTCCCACATTTTCCTCTATTTCCCCCTCCCCTTCCTTCACTTCCCCCCATCCTACATCATCTCCACTCCATGCCGAGCTCAACCCTCATCCGCAATGCTGCCGGCTCCCAGACGCCCACCAGCCGGCCCCGGGCTGCCCCCGCAGTCCCGGCCGTGTCCTCCGAGCCCCTGGCTCCCACGACTCATTCCCTTCCCTGCGGCGCCTTCGCTCCCGGCCCCCGACCGCTCCCGTCGGAGCCTCCCTCGTTTTTGACCCCTCCACCCGCGCGGCTCTGGTTTGACCACTCCTCCACAGCCGCCCGAGGACTGATCCCGAAAAAGGACGAGGCGGTACCGTCCGCCCCGCACCCGCAGGCCCATTACCGGCCCCGCCGCAGCTGCCTCCTCCCGCGCTGTTCTCTGCCGCCCCCGCTGCCGCCGCCGCCGCCGCTGCCCTAGCTCGGGTGGGAATGAGGGCGGAGAAAGCAAGTCCAGGGCCTGCGGCGACGGTCGGGGAGTTCCCAGGAAGGCAGGGAGGGTGGGCAGATCGGCCGGCAGGCGGCGGAGGGCGGGCGGCTCCGGCAACACGGGCGCCCCCGGTAGCAGACGCCCAGAACCGCCCCGGCTCCGGCTAACAATAGGCTGCGGCCGCAGCGCGCTGGCTCTTATAGGCGCCAGCACGTACTGACCGAGCCCCGAGGCAGACTGGGAAATAGAGTCTACGCGCCTGCCCTGCGTCCAGCGGCATGCCGGGAGTTGGAGGCGCGACGGGTGCACAGCCATAAATTGCCGGCAGACAGGCTCTGAAGGCGGTGGCAGCTGCAGCGGACCCTGGGAAAACGAGTTCGGCGGCGCTGCAGCCTTTTGAAGAGGATGAGGGGAGACCCTCAGCTACATATCTTCAATGACTGAACGAATTCTCTTCCAAAGCCCCCCTTTTCCTTTCGCCAGGGCCACACTCCCATGCTTAAAGAACATAATCCCCTTATCTCGCACATGGGATCTGAGTCTTAAACAGCATGGCGTGCTGCAGCCAGCCCATGGTATAAAAAAGAAAATACAAGCAATGCATTGAGTTATGGCAACATGCATTGACGCGTTAACTGCTCCCTGTTAAATTTTTTTCTTTACGAGATGTCTGATCTTCACAACTTCGCAACCCATTTTTAAAATGGGGAAAACGAAGACCCTGAGGTCAGAATGTTATTTGCCAAGGGCACCCAGCCTTTGTTTCCTACTTCACTCAGAATAGAACATCTCTTCCTTAACCTATAAGGCCCTACAAGACATAGCCGCCATCTGTTTCCTTCTGCCCTTCCCCTCCCAAACTCTGCTTAACCACACTGGCCCACTGGCCTTGCAGTTCCTTAAACAGGACAACCACGCTCTCGCCTCTGGGCCTTTTGCCTGGAATACTTTCCCCAGCAAGCCACACTTACTCCTTCACTTAGTATTTGTTCAAACGTCCCCTCATCAGAGAACTTCTCTAACCATATTTCTAAAACGGTGCTTTCTCATAGTCTCTACACCCTCGCCTTTATTATTTCTTATTAGTATTTACCACCTGACACATATTTTTCAGTTTTCTCTCATTTGAGAGCAAGGAATTGTTTTGTTTCCTGTATCCTCAGCACCTAATACAAAGCCTGGTAAATGCCACTGAGGAGCTCAGTAGATAATTACTACATTATTGGATGGATGGCAGGATTTAAACTCAATTAGGCTGGTTCCAAAGTCTAGTGCACTTTTCACTGCAACTAGAAACTGTGGAGCCGTATCTTATCTACTGGCTACACTACCAAGCCTTCTGAGTTTTAGAATTAAGAGAAGTTGGGTGCCTTGGGAAAAAATGCCAAGAATTCCAGTCTCCCCCATAGATGACATCAGAGACTCCAAGAGGCTAGGAAAAAGACAAGATGAAAAAGCAACAGATCACAAAACAGCAATCCTCAGAGTAGCATACACCAACCATTCCTATTTGCTGAAATTTGGGAATGGTATATAATGTGTAGTCAAGAGCATGGATCCTGGAGCCACACTGCCTGAATGTAAACCCCAACTCCTCCACTCATTAGCAGTATGACCCTTGGCAAGTTACAGAACTTCCCTGTGTTTTAGTTTCCTCATCTGTATGTATCTGATAGGGTTTTGTGTGACGATTAGTTAATATGCTATAAAATGTTTACAATACAGTCAGTGCTGTATAAATGTTCATGATTCTGTTTCTCCTGGACACAGAGAAGACAAAAAGAGAATCCAGACCACTCTGCAATGAGTTAACAACAACAACAACAAAAATCTGCCTAAAGGCCATACTGGGCAGGCTAAAAAAAGTGTCTCATATACCTACAGATCCTTTGAGTCATAGAAATTCATCAAGGTGCCATCAGCCTCAATGCCCAAGCTTCGTAGGTTTAATGACACCAAACTAGAAAGCAGTCAAACCAAAGTTATAATATCCTTTGAGAAGGGTGTGAGTAGTAGAATCCCATTTGGCAATAAGCCTGAGATAGGTCAAAAGATCATCCGGACTTCTAACAAACATCTCAACAACTTACCACAGAGTCACTTATTCACCATATTTCATCACCTTGATAGAATCATAAGTTACTATAATAGAGTCAGTTCACCCCTAGCAACTGCAATCTGCCTCCAGCCTAAGTAGGGCTTGTGGAAAGCCAATGACCAGGAAGTTCAAGTGTAGTAGAATAGAAACTACAAAGAAAAATGAAAAGAAATATTATTATATATTATGTATTATATGCAAATAACATTGGACATCTCATTCTAAATGTTACTTTGTTCCAGACCATACTGCAACATATGTATGAACTAGCTCAGAACACACAAATCACAGATGGGTGGTTTGTTTTAAGCATAAAAAAATCAAAGAATAGGAAGAAAAGACATATGACCAAGAACAGCAGCCACAGATGAAAACTGAAGCTCAGATTTCATGTCCTAGAAGATGTTTACACACCTGTCTCACAATTATGTCTACATGTGAAGTGATCATGTGGTCAATATTATCCTAAGTTTATTGAGCAAGTAAATAAGAATGCTACATACAAATAAAACTGTGTCTTATTCTTTTTAATCTCCCCAACAACTCTATGAATTAAGTATTATTTCCTTTTTAAGAAGAGAAACTTGAGATTTAAGAGATTATTTTGTCCAAGGTCATATCCAGGAAGAATAAGATCTGGGACTTGAACACAGGCTTATAAAACCCCAAATATATTGTATCCACTATTCTTTACCACCAAAAGATAAGAATACACTCTCTGGGGTTGGGGGTTGAAAATTAATAGATAAAGTATGTGATGAGCCTCTTAGAGAAAAAGAGTTAAGATTAAAAATCTAAGGCAATGTATTTGTTTCTCGGATGTGGAACCTACAGATTTAGCTCTGAAGTTGTATGCTACTTTACTAACTTACATTTAATTATAATCCAGATCTAGAGAGATAGGCACCTTCTGTGACTAACTGCTATTAACAAAAAGAGATCAGTATGTGCAAATCTGGGAAAACCAGTGCTACAGAAATTGTAAAGTACAAACAATGAAGATGTATGTCATTAAGGAAGGTTTCAGGTAGGACATACACAAATTAATCTATACATGTCCATAAAACACGCCCTATTAAAAAAGCAAAATAACCATCAGATTTGAGGAGTAGAGTACAGAGGTGAATTTAGAGGGCAAGTTTAATAAGCCTAAAGATAGGGAATGAAAGTTTGAAATAAAGTTACCAGGGTGTATAGGGAAAGATATTAACTAAATCCTTAAATGAAAAATGAGACATTACAACTCAGGTAGAAAACAGGAATCTATAATGATTAAAGTGAGGAATGTGTACCTCATCTTATAAAATATATGAAAACACAGATTATAATGGATAACTGGTTACTACTTATGTCCCAAAAGATCCCATACAGTACAAAATAATATAATATTTATCAGTTTTTAAATAGCAAGTTACGTTATAATTAACATTAATCCAACTGTGATATTTGTGTACAACTTTTAAATCTCTGAATTTAAGAATGCAAATGATAGACTTATCTTAGTTACTTAGAAAACTTACTTGCAGTTTTCAAGGTAACTGGTTGAATAGGCTTATGTTCACAAGGAACAACACAGAGGACATCTGGAAGTGAAAAGGAAAGTGTAAATAGATGAAAGTTTAAGGTCAAAGGTAAAATGAGGTCATCAGAAGAAGCAAGGAGGAGAAATAAAATATTAACAATACAGAAAAAACATGGTGATGGCACTAATCTCATGTCATGTAGGGCATCTTTTCTAGCTCATTTCATTTTGGAGTGGTAACACATTCCTCATTTCAGCCTTGGAATTCATATAATGAAACAAAAAATTAATCACGAACTAAAAATAATATTCTGGCAGAAAAATTCTTAGCCCACAACTAAGAAAACAGAGTATTTTAGGAGAAGCAGAATGATGAGGAATTACTCCAGATTAACCATCATATGAAGGCAGCTAGGTGGGGCATTTGTGTCATTCCTGTTGAGACTGCCATTCCTGTTGAGTTCTCATTAACAGACCAGTAGAGGCCATAACAGATCACATTCCCATAGAAGAACCATCCATGGTTAAGGAAGCCAACTAAGGATTCAATAAAATGATAAATTGGCTCACTTTAGCTTTCCAGTCCCAAGCTATCCAGAATTGTAGGTGCTGGCCAGAGAAAAAGCTATAGCAGAGAGGGATAAGCTTAGTCCTGACTGACCAAGTATTTGCATCCCATATTTGTGCTGCTTTCAAAGCTGAATGCTGAAGCATCATTCAATCCCTCGTGGTAGTTTGCAAGACAGCCCAAATCTCCGCAGTAACCCTTTACAAAATATTTTCTCAGAATACTTGGGGTCACAAAGGGTTTTCAGAACACTCCTTCATTAGGCATAAATTAGAAATGGCTAGTTTCATTATACCAAGCTGCCAGGCTTCCCCATGCTCCTCTGACTCATGGTGGTAAGATCATGCTCTACCCTTCACTACATACCAAGTGCCTGACTCTACCTGACTTCCAGGAATCAGAACAATCTGCCCCATCATGTAGACCTGTCTTAGATTTTTCAGACTCTGGTTGTCTTGTATTTGTTGTACTATAATCTGTTTCCTGACAATCTGACCATCTCCATTTCCCCTCCCTTTAATGGCTTCTTAAATAAATCATTTATGTGGGCAAACATTCTTACTGGGCCATTATATTGGACAATCTTATTACTTACTAGCCATATTTAGTACTTAATACTTACAGACCTGCGATGATCTCCCTCCTTTTATTTTCCAGTTAATTCTATTTTACCTATCAAGTCTTTATACAGCTGATTGTTATACATGGGACCTATTATAGTTCAATGAAACAGAACAGACAATATAAGGAAAATAGGCTACTCTGCTTCTCAGGAAGGCCTGAAATCTAACCACTCTCCTCTTGTACCCTCACACAAAGAGAAACATTAAACCATCTAACTTTATTTTAAATATCAATTATCACTTTGTTAAAAAGGTACAATCCAGCAAATTGTATTTCTCAGGCTGTATCTCAGAGATATATGCAAAGAACTTATGAAGATGCATGTTCAATGGCTTAACCTAAATGG